CATAAATACTTGTAGCTTCTTGAGTTATAACTTACTGATCTTAAAATGTTATATACATGGAATAAATGAACATCTTAAGTCTAATCTTTTATCTGTTGTTATAGTAGTGTATTGTTTATCTGTTACAAATTAAGACGAAACAACTAAAATACTTGAGTATCTGAAGACATTTATCTGATTACTTCATTATGAGACGAATCTCTTTATTTCAACCGAATATATATCAGAAGAAAGAATCATTGATTTACTGGTTGGAATCAATAAGGGAATGAAGGTCTTTTTTTAATAAAAAACACATACACAATATTCAACCAAAACAAAATGACATTGAACCATTTATCATATAAGAAAATCATAGAAACGACCACTGAATAGCATTCAATGGAGAAGTCTATTGAACCTTTTAAGATAAGAAACAACAAAGACTTGCTAAATAGATCATAGATTTGCTAAATAATGCTTTCAGAAACTAGTAAAAGAGATTGGAAACATTTTGTCCAATCAGCATACGCCACAACAGATTGTATCGGATTGGATCATTGGTTATTATGTCACTTGACTTAAAAGAGCTTAGATTTTCAATAAAATCTGTAAGTACTAATGTTTTCTGTAACTAAATCTTCTATATTCACTTTACACTTTCTCTTTACCGTTCTAAGCTCAAGTGCATAAGAGTTATATAGATCACGAAAGTGAAGTCATTGTCAAGCGTTCAAATAATAGACTTATCAAGACAATTCACTGATTATAGATCTCTAAAAGTAAGAAACCTAAGTTCAGTAGTTCTTTTCTTTGCTAAATTCAACGAAGTAGCCCATATTACAAGTTATATCCTTGGGATCACTTTCTTTTATTTTATTTTGGTATTCAATTCAGTGTTTATAGTTGAGAATCTATGTTCTTGTTTAAGTTTGAACGTTTTACTTATGTAAATGAGATTCGATTAATTGTTGTAACCTTGTACTATGTACACATTCTGTAATTGGAATGAACACAATTATCGATCATCTAAATTTTAAAATACCTCAGTAAGTTATAATTAGAGGTGTTTCTCTAATCTAAACACACACACACACACAAGTTCATTTCAAGTCTGTAATCATAAGAATACCTCATGAGAGAGATTTTGACAGTCCCTTGTCAGTTGAGTTAATTAGTTTCATATTCACGTTTTCATTATCTTGAACCAAGCTTAATGAAACAACTATTTAAAACTAGAAAGTAATGGACAGTTGTTTCATTTTAGTATGTACTTGCTCAGTAGTGTTAAACTACTACTCTTATTATTATTTGAACACATAAATATTGGTACAAGAGGGCACCAAATATATATGTGCCACACCATATTTGCGTGTGTGTGGGCTGTGACACTGCCCGGGTGCGCAGACCGAAGCGGGTGGTTTTCTTAAGGGGCCACACCCCGAGCCTTTGACCTAAAGGTCTAACCCACAAGGCGGTAGAGCATCGTGAGGAGATGCAGTCCCATGGTAGCTGGTGACCAACGACGGGTTTATACGCCATTTTTTCCCGCAGGATACTGGAGTCCATGTGCACCATTGGTTTGGGATCCGGTTAAAGCGCCAGACATTCACTTTTCGTCCTCTCATTTTCGTAAAAGACACCCCCGCCACGAAAAGGCAGTGAGTAGGACTTCCCTGGCAGAGGCTGCATACGCGTGGCCATGTGATAGCAATTGGAGAGGGAAAGTGGACTCTCCCCACTCTCGGCCATGCCAGGGCATTTGGCGGCAAACTACTACTCTACTACAGATTAAAGACTAAGATATTTCATGAAACACTTTTCATCTTAACTCTTATTGTGAATTGAAATTTTGAATGAGATCATTCTTTTAAAAATAAAGATAACGTAATACAATCATCATCAAAAAGGTACAAGTATTTATAAATAGTTGTCTACGCAAGATACTCAATATCCTTTGACCGGATACCATCAGCAACAACCTTCTGTGGGAGAGGACAAACCAGCTTCCAACTGCAGAAGAAATTAGGAAAAGACGATGGAAGTGAAGGGGATATACATTGAGGAAATCACCAAACTGCATCATGAAGCTAGCCCTAACTTGGGATACTGAAGTGGAACGCAAAAGAGGAAGGGCCAAAGAACACACTGCGTCCGGAATTGGAAGCAGATATGAAAAGAATGAATAGCAACTGGAAAGTATTGTCCAGGACAACTTTGGATGGAGAATGCTGGCATGAGCGAACTATTCTCCTTCATGAAGGGTAACAGGAGTCAGTAGTATGTAAAAATGTTGTCAATTTCACCCTATAAGTATTACTATTTACATTTTGTTTAGAAATCTATTAACAAAATAAAAGAAAGTGTTAACATGTAGATTTGATCTATCGAATCAAATTGTCATTACCAACAACTTTTCGAAACTATGTGTTACACGACAATGTGAGGCATTTAATTCGATTACATACGCTTGTAGTATACTCATTCATTCTCTGAATTGTAATAATACATCTAACACATTCTGAACTATCAGACATTTATAAAATATTAGCAGATAAGATCTATGAACATTATCGAATTTGTAGCTTACATGTAAGAAAAACGCAAGCATCGCAACCAATGTTTCGAGACTGGGTGGCCAAATCAAAACGTTGCATCAGTGCTTGAACTCACTGACTTCTAGTCTAAGCCATGTCGGTAGATGTACACTACTTGGTTGGGGTCCGCATGAATATCGTAACCGATGGTTGGAGACTCTTGGTGACATGTCTCAGAATCAATAACAATGGCGTAAGTGAATACACTATCTGTCTTCCCTTAAATTGAGATTCAAATCGCTTCATATCTTTATTTCTACGAACTATTTTTTCTTGCTATACTTTGTGCTTATATGCAATCTTTCTTTTATATATTACTACCATTAAAGTAATTACTTCTATGAATCCGGTGTTCATCTTGTTGTGTTAATGAGGTATGGCAACTTGGACCGATGCATATATGTGCTTGTTCCTACGATGTAACTGACTGACCAAGACATAATAATGAGTACTATGCGCTTGATACTCATACATACTCATGCATATATGTGCCTGATCCTGACTGACTGGTTCCAACATTTGTAGAGAAGACAGGTCTACGTATTAACAATAGAAATTAGTGAATGCTAAAAAAATAATCGTGTATCAAGGAGTATGTTTCAAGAATAATATATCTGATGACTTTTCTAAGAAAAATAACAATCCTTCCTTAAGTAGAGTCGTATTCATAAATATTGTACAAGTTTACTAGCTAAAAACTGTCAACATCATGAGTTACGGATACTATTGAAAAATTGCTTCTTGAATGAGTTGAAATACAAACAGAAAACAAATGGTTTTGTACTATTCGAACAAACTTCAGATTTCATCAAGAATCAATATCAGATAACGAATTATTAGAGAATTATGAAGAAACACTAGACAGTCAACTTATCCTAGAATCAAATACATTACAAATTAAATCCATGTATTACAATTAATATCAACTTTTGTTTCAAATAGTGACTAGTTTAGCACTAGGTGTCATGATGAATGTACTTAACTTTACGAGTTTCAATATTCTCTGAGGAACAATAGTTTAGATAGTTTGTTTTATGTAATTGGTTTCCCTTAGATATAAACACTGCAAGAATAACAATATTCACATAATCGCTTAAGTGGAGAACACTTTAAAAAATGGTGTTGTATTATACCAACATTATGGTCAATAATCTAAACGAATAGTTCCATAGACATTGAGGACTATGTATGTAGTGAACAATGAATATATTTTGATGGAGTTTTGCTTGGTCGTGTCTAAACCGTCCAGCTAAGAGAAAAAAATTCCATCAAAATTATCTACCTGAGCAACAAATCTCCTCCACCATCTTACAATGAATCATTTATTATTTTCAACACATTGTCTGGACTATTAGATTACGTTTATTCCAGGAAATAATCGAAATTTAATAAAGCTAGATGTAATTGTATAATAAAGTTTAGACGCAAGTGTTTTAGGGTATCAATTTATTTAAACTGCTCATCATCTAGTCTAATTATGTTGGTACAATGAACAAGAGTTTTTCTGATGAATTTCTATACTTGATTTAGAACTAAACAAAAAAACTAAGATAGCATGAGTTGTATCCATAAACGAACATTAAATTTCAGACTGATTATGTGACCGCCTTCGAATATAACAGCCTGAGTTTGTCAATGTTCAAGGTCGCTCCTCTCTCAAATACATTTATTCTAATCATTTCGAATTGATACCATTGTTTATCACAAAACATGTGACAACAATTATGAAACGATACGTATAGCTTAACCCGCTTTCTGACTGGTTACTCATTACTAGTTATAGCATAGGTTTTTCTTGAGATACGACTGGTCACCTCCGCTTTTATATACGTCAGGCTGTATCATAGTCAAAGTGCTGTTCAGTTTATCCGGATGCATCGAATCGACCTTCGTACTATTAGTAATTATGAGGTTGTATTGGAAGCTCCCATATCAACAACAAAGAACAAGTTTTGTTATCAGCGTTCAGTGCTCAGATGAGTAAATACATTTCATTTACTCACGTCGTGTGATCAATATCCAAGTTAAGCACAGTAACCACCACTGTAGATTTGGGGCTTTGAGCTAAGCTTATGTATGAAGACTAATGATCATATTCACATTTATTCAATTCGAAGTAGATGAGATGAGATTTTGAACTAACAACTTAACCATTCAAAATCGAATATTTCGAATCACAAAGTAGAAAGCCAAAACAAAAAAACATTTGAAATATCATTAATATACTGTACAAGGTATGATATGATCTTTGAGGTGTATTTGCTTAGTCTTCACCATTTGGTCGACGAGCACGTTTACCGCCACGGGATGATCTACGAGCAAAATATTGTTTTCGTCTTTTACGTTCATTAGCAGCTTTAATGGCATTTTCTTTAGCTAATTGTTTCTTGTGTTTTGTTACACGATTAATCATTTTCTCTTTTTGACGTTGCATAAAATCTGAGTGTAATTGACGTAGGCGCATAATTAATTCTTGTCTTGATTCAGATTCCATTTCATCAGCAGTTTTAACTGGAGCAGGTATTTCAGCATTTAAAGCAGCTTTTACAGGATCTCCACCAAGCATAGCTAATGCTTCTTTACGTGATGGCTTAGGTTTATACGCAAATGGAAGTGCTGCGGCCAGTTTGGTTGGTATACGTAAAGGTGCTGTAATGTGTACTGGACGATTTATAGGCTGCATATAGAAATAATAGTAATAATAATATTAATGATAAATACAGATCTTTACATGTAATTATCACGATAAGGGCAGTATTGATTAAAATTCCTATACTTTAAGTGTATGACTATAGGTTGAACTGAGATTCTCATAAGAATAAAAGTGTATGGGAGCTTGTTCGCAATAGAGCAGATCTTAAAATACTTACACTTTTTATTCCATGAACTTATTCTCTCTTCATTAATCGTTTTACTAATGCTTAACATTTTAAATTACCAGTGATAATGTTAGTACTTTGTTGTGAACGAGGATACAAGTGGAAACAACTAAATGTATTCCAATACAATATTACAGAATCTCTTGGTGAAATATGAGAACCAAATATTGAATACTTTATTTACAAACGTCCATCATTTATCCTTCATATTCTCTATGATTCTACCAATTAACAATTCCTTTTTAATTCTGTTTCTGTTTATTTAAGTCGACCTTCATAGCCTTCTGCTGCCAGGTTTTCCACTTCCTTACTTACTTACTTACTCCTGTTACTCCTCGTGAATGAGCATAGGCCGCTCACCAGCATTCTCCATCCAACCCTGTCCTGGGCAATCCTTTCCAATTCCTTCCAGTTGTCATCCATCCTTTCCATATCTGCATCTAGTTCCCGACGTGTGTTCTTTGGCCTTCCTCTTCTCCACTTCCCTTCAGGATTCCAATTTGGACTTGCCTCGTGATGCAGTTTGACGATTTGCGTAATGTATGTCCTATCCATTTCCATCGTCTTTTCCTAATTTCCTCTTCAGCTGAAAGTTGGTTTGTTCTCTCCCACAGAAGGCTGTTGGTGATGGTATCCGGCCAAAGGATGTTGAGTATTCTGCGTAGAGAGCTATTTATAAATACTTGTACCTTCTTGATGGTGGTTGTTGTAGTTCTCCATGTTTCATCTCCGTACAGTAGAACTGCCTTGACGTTCGTATTGAAGATTCTCACTTTGATATTGGTTGAAAGTTGTTTTGAGTTCCATATGTTCTTCAATTGAAGGAATGTGACCCTTGCTTTGCCAATCCTTGCTTTTACGTCTGCATCTGAACCTCCTTGTTCATCGATGATGCTACCCAGGTATGTGATAGGAGGGCCAGGTCATCCGCGAAGTCCAAATCGTTTAATTGATTCTGAGCTGTCCATTGTATCCCGTGTTTTCCCTCAGATGTCGAGGTCTTCATAATTCAGTCGACCACCAGAAGAAAAAGGAAGGGAGAGAGTAAACAGCCTTGTCTGACTCCGGTCCTTACTTGGAATGCATCTGTCAGCTGTCCTCCATGCACGACCTTGCACTGTAGTCCGTTGTATGAGTTCCGGACAATATTAACAATCTTCTCAGGAACTCCGTAGTGTCGAAGAAGTTTCCATAATGTCCTCCTATCTACACTGTCAAATGCATTTTCATAATCAATGAAGTTGATGTACAGTGTTGAGTTCCACTCAACTGATTGTTCGACGATGATCCGTAGTGTCGCGATTTGGTCTGTGCACGACCGATCCCTACGGAATCCAGCTTGTCGATCTCGAAGTTGGACGTCTACTGCGTCTTTCATCCAGTTCAGCAACACTCTGTTAAAGACTTTCCCTGGTATGGACAGTAGTGTAATGCCTCTGTAGTTTTCACATTTGCTCACACCTCCTTTCTTTGGAATCTTGATGAGGTGTCCTTCTTTCCAGTCTATAGGCACTTGTTCCTCCTCCCAAATCTTTTTGAATAGAAGGTGAAGCATGTTTGTGGTTACTTCGATGTCTGACTTCAGTGCTTCAGCTGGTATATTTTAGGATCCTGCTGCTTTCCCGCTCTTGATTTGTCTGATGGCCATTCTGGAGTACCTAGCCTGTCGTAGCTTTGTGGTTGCCTGATCTGCCAAAGGCGATGGTACAGTGCATGATGCTATTGTTGTGCGCTAGGTTTAAAGAGAATCGTATGCTATATGCATGCAAATCCGTCCCGTTATTGTTCCTATATTCCACTTCAGGTTGGTATTAATTACTACTTATGTCGACAGCCGGATAAATGTTCAGACACAGCTTAACTACTGAATAATAAATAGGTAGTATAGCGTAATACAAAAAATAAATAGAACCTGTTGACAGATTCTACACTTACTTTATACTGTGAATCTGGATTACATTCTGTTTTGATACCAGCTTCCCATTTAAGTTCACCTAATGTACGAAGTAAGCGCCAACCTGGAGTAGTTGTATCTTTTTCTCCAACAATAGGTAAAAGTCTATTAAGAACTGGATTATAATATTTGGGCAGTTCAACAGCGAAAAATGTTCTCAAGAAAACTATATCAGCTTTCCTAATTTGTGCTTCAAATGTAGCACGAAAATCACCAGGTTTCGATGTTGATGGATTAGTTAATGCAGCTTTAACTAAACCTATGATTGGTAAAAGAGAAAAGTTAAGAAACATTTACTGGAAATGAAATATAACACAGAGAAAAATCATTAAATTGTCATATATTCTTTCATGTGTAACTTTGGATAAAACTAGGCTGTGAGAATTGTATTTACTGCTCAAGGGATAGTGATACTATTCATAGGTTGTCTTAAATCCTGGTGAGAAGAGATAGCATTAGAATTTGTCAACAGTAAATCCATAAATCAATTAGACATCATCATATTGTTAAATGAAGTACATTAATTGGACATATTCCATATGTACTTCAACTGCTTTGAATAATTCGAACTTAAAATTATACGGAAAAATTCCTAAAAATGTGTGAAAGTCAAAGTAATTACTATCGAAGTGCACATTCTATTTACCAGATATATTTCACATAAAAAAGAGACGGGCTGTGTTATTCAGACAGACAAAGCTCTGTAATTAAATTATCTAGTTTACAGAATTCATTATTTAATTATTTGAACACATAAATATTGGTACAAGAGTGCGCCAAATATATATGCGCCACACAAAACAACGAGAATTTAAAGAGAAGGAAAAAGAAAAAAAAGGTAAGGAACGTTTAAAAAAGAGAACAATAACGAAGAGATTGGAGTAAGGTAGTGTAATAATGATAATAGTAATAATGGGGGAACGGAAAGGTACAATCAGAAGAAATCTTCCAGTTAAGGAAGATACAACCACTTTTTACGAAGAAAGTAAAAGAAGGTTACAGCACGATCGCCACTGGCTTCTATTCTGAGCCATATCTGATAACGTCTCTAGCCACTGTGTTGCACCATCTCTCGGACCCCAACCAGGGAGTCGTGAAGGACCAACAGAAGCCAGTCCTTTGCAGCTTTCTTTCATACCACGACACCATGTCATACACTGACCACCTCTCCGCTTCTTCCAACCAGTCCCAGAGTCGGCAAATAATGCACGACGAGGAATTTTCTGGGAGGACATTCAGAGAACATGTCCAAGCCACTGAAGTCGGTGTTTCAAGATGGTGACACCAATTGCATTATCATCTCTGTGCCCGAACACACGATGCCGAACCTCTGCATTACTAACATAGTGTTACCACTGGGTGTCATCAATCCTTCAGAGACAACGATGATTGAACACAGAAAGTCGTCTAACGTCCTCAACTCGGAGAGACCAGGTTTCACAAGCATAGAGCAAAACTGCTCTCATCGAAGCGTTGTAGGTCCGACCTTTTACAGCCACACTAACATCACGAAGGCGCCATAGATGGCCCAGATTGGCATAAGCCGCTCTGGCTTTCACTATACGTGCATTGATCTCATCACTCACACCCCCCACCAGCACTTATGCAGCTACCTAGATACACGAACTTCTCGACTACTTCTATCTGCTCATCATCCAAGATGAGTACAGGATTAGAATCCTGCCAATCTTGTAAAAGTACTTTGCACTTCGAAGGTGCAAAGCACATACCATACAGAATTCATATGAGTTGTAAATCTTTTTCATAATTCCAGAAATTACGAATATTGAATAGAAGAAAGAATATAAATCAAAAGGAATAATATCCAATACTGTATTAAGAACTCACCTCGTATTTTCGAAGCAGTTTGTATACGACAACCAATCATTTTACTCACTTCTAAAGGACTATTAAACATACCGCGAATAAATGCGGTTTTTGAAAAAATTTTGAATGGTTCACCAATTAATTTCAATTTTTTCATGATTTGAAATGATTGATTAGTATCAATAACACTGCCAGTACCAGCGACACGAAAAGCTGGTAAATGTGGATTTTTTGGATCATCAATTGACTGCCAAGAAGAATTCACAAAAGCAATTACTCCAGTTTTTGGTGGTACTAATGGACCATAAATAGTTGCTAGACAATGTTCATGTGGTAGTGAATATTTTAGGAAACGTTTACGCAAATTATGCTCTTCTTGTGAAAATACTGTAACAGTTTGGTATCGTCTCCAACCAATTGATACTGTTAATGGATCATTTGAACGGAGAACACGTTTAAGCCAACGATGTGTACGAAAACGAATTTGTAAATAACCGAAAGCTTCTTCAGCACTGGATAAGCCACCAGCAACTAATGGTTGACAGGGATCAAATCGTGTCAGAAATTGTTGTGGAACACCTATAATTAACATAGTTCAGTGGTGTAAAGATATTGCCAGAATAGTTGATTAGTCTAAATAAAATTCATATTATTACATTACGATATAATCAAGTGTATATATGACGATTGATCTATCAAAATAATTTTTTGTTGTTCCGTGCTCTCTTTTCCATTTTCTTTTCTCCAATTGTAGATGATTATAAGTACAAAGTAATAAGACTGAAATGGGTTGTCTATACTATGATCATTCTTAAACATGAGATCTCAGTCCTTAGGACTAAGAAAATACTGGTTCCTAGTTGCTAATCACTTTGCAATATCAATTAATTCAAAACGGTCATGATATTTTAGCTGCGCCATTAACTTAGCAAACTTACGATTCTTTCTACACTGTTTATCAAAGACAACTTTTCGTCTACAAGAATAATAGCTATTATTCTTGTATGCCCCGACAATAATCTTATACTTCAAAATGTCACCTATGATTATACAACTTGTCTGCCTTTCATTATTAAAATCTTTGAGACAATTGTACAGTCAAAACAGTTTACGAACCAAGTCTTGTTCCACTCCTTTTCATAATAACCTGATCATGTCTGTAAACTAGTGTATACCAAGTGAACTCGTGATAGCTTCAAACCTAGCAATTTTCAGAACACATACTATATTACTATTATTGTACGCAATACGTGAATTATGGATATGAATATGATTATTTTTGTGAATCAGCTACAGCGCAGGACCAGGTAGATACATGCATCGGTTCAAGTTGTCATACCTCATTAGCACAGCAAGACGAACACTGGATTCATCGAGGCACTTAAATCAATGGTGTAATATATACAGGAAAGGTTTCATGTAAAAATATAGTAAAGAAAGAAAGAACTGGTTCGTAAAAAGAAAGATATGAAGCGATTTTAATCTCTCGGTTTTAAGGAAAACAGAGAGCGTATACACCGACGCCATTGTGATCGATTCTGAGCCATATCACCAAGAGTCTCCAACCATTGGCTACGATAGTCACGTGAACCCCAACCAAGTAGTCTGCATCTACCAACATGGCTCAGACTAGAAGTTAATGACTTCAAGCACTGATGCCACGTTCTGGTTGGACCGCCCCTAACTTTCCTTCAACTATGCCCAACACTAGTTACCATCGCGCATCGTGGTAATCGGTGTTCAGGCATACGTTACACGTGGCTCAACAATCTCAGTCAATGAAGATTCACAACCTCATCAAATGATTTACCATCATTCCCTAATACCCAGTGTCTAACCTCACTATTACTTACCCGGTAATCCCAGCAGGTGCGAGCAATAATTCTAAGACATCTGTGATTAAATACTAGTAGCTTACGAGTATCTTAATGGCCATGTTTCGCAACCGTAAAGTAGAACAGAACGAACTGCCACGAAGTATACTCTTCCTTTTATTGATAGACGGATATCTTGCCTTCGCCATAGGTGACGTAAGTTGACAAAAGTCAAACGAGCTTTTTGAATCCATGCAAAGATTTGGCCAGACACCAAACCATTAGGGCTGATCAGACTTCCAAGATAAGTGTTGTCAACGCGTCCGACTACTTCACTCCCTACCCTTAGTTCAGGTGTTGATGCAGGCCAGTAGAGGGTTATATGCCAAAAATTACTCGATACAATGTTACAAATAATTATTAGTCAAATCGTAGAGTGTGTTTAACTGTCACCAGTCTCTATTACTATCTGTACTGTATAGGAACATCACATATTTTCTCTCAAAAGACCTAGCCAGATAGCCTGAGATTTCCGGAATCAATATAACAATTTTCGACTTAATTATTCCTTTGTTTTGTGTAAGTGAAGGTACCAGAGAATAGAAAACTTGTGATTTTAACACATTGTCGCTTGTATAAATTACGAATTAGACATAATTTGATACTAAGTTGATCAAATGAAACCTATTCATTCAGTGGGAAAAAGATATCGACATAAATCTACGAATCTATCAAAAAAAGAATTCAATCATAACGGTTGAGTATGACGAATCCTGATGAAAGGCACTTTAAGAGTGTAATCAAATTCAAACTACGTCTGTTTATTCGTGTGGTTTATCTGTTAATCTGCATACATGAAACATAATATTCTCAATATATTTCGTGTAAGACATCTGTTATTGTAATTAATGTGTATGTGCAACGAGATTAGTCTAAGTATTATGTACAAAGTTTAATCGGGATATTAATTTGGAATAAGTCGAAACCTCCAAGAGTTAGATGAACTTATTAAAGATCTAACTGCAAGAACAATGATATTAAGGAACAATCTAATATTTAGCTAAGAACTTTTGAATTACTTAGCCAGTAATCGACACGAAAAAAATGCAAAAATTCAACCTACTAAAGACAAATAAATTATGTCAGAAGGGGTTTTGTGGAGATTGTAATAATTTCAATAGTTGAGATCATGAGTCAATTGAAGCTAGAACACCATGGAAAACCTGAAAGAACTGGATGGCCGTTTCGTCCTAGTATGGGACTCCGCAGAAGTGCGCATCCACGACACCGCCTGACGGGATTCAAATACAGGACCTATCCGTTTCGCGCGCGAGCGCCTAACCACTAGACCACTGAGCTGGCCGGCATCCAATGGCGTTAATGTCTAACTTCAACCAATCCACGAAATCGTGCGACACATTCACCATTGTTTTCAGTGAGTTATTATTTCACAACAGACCCAGTTGAACTCCACTGGTCACTGCGCACTGCTGAAGAGTCCCACAATAGGACGAAACGGCCGTCCAGTGCTTCCAGGTTATCTATGGTGGTCTAGCTTCAATTGACTCATGATCTCAACTAATGAAATAAATTATGTATCAAGTACTAAGTCATTTTTAAGTAGTTACATCTGATAGAACACAATTAACATAAATTTCTAAACTTTGTTAACATTTACATCTGTAATAACAAAACTCATCATTTGTAGTACTACTTATTTACTAATGAATTTTAAAATGAACTTTATATTCATATAAATAAAAACAAAACAAACCTCTAATTTCAATTCGAACATAAACTCCAGGTGGAAAACCTTCTAAACGATTAACAACTTCTTCAGGTAAACTTTTTAAAACTTCTCTATTTAATGCTTGTTGTGCTTCACGTGTAGCAACAAGTTTATCATAGAATGCAGTAGCTTCAGGACCACCACCAGCTTCCTCATAGAGTTGGTTAAATAAAGCTTTATGACGTTGTCTTTTCTCTAATAATTTCTGTCGTTTAGTTGGTCGTAGTAGATTCTGAATATGAGTTTTTTATAATAAAAAAAAATAATATTAATCCTCTTTTAAATAAAGATATTGTAAATGTTAAAGTCATTGAAATATACAGTATGTTTTAATGTCAATAATCGTGAGCAGGATAGTCCAGAAGATTACATCCTCTGGTTAAGATTAAATATAAATATACTGATCGGTTTACTTATAATCACTCAGCGCCAGCGGACAAATCGAGATGTTAGGAGGTTTTATGTAAATTATATATAAGCACTGTTCCTATTAGCAAGGACAACATTCTTACAGTTGAAAAACATATGGAACTCCAAACAACTGTCTGTCAACCAACATCAAGGTCGGAATCTTCAATACAAACGTCAAGATAGTCCTACTGCACGAAGCTGAAACTCAGAGAACTACCACATCCAACATCAAAAAGGTACAAGTATTTATAAGCCATTGTTTACGTGAAATACTGAATTTCCGTTGGCCGGATACCATCAGCAACAACCTAATGTAGGAAAGAACAAACCAAATTCCAGCTGAAGAGGAAATTAGGAAAAGACGATGGAAGTGGATAGGACATACATTGAGGAAATCATCAAACTGCACCACAAGGCAAGCCCTAACTTGGAATACTGAACGGAAACGTAAAAGAGAAATACCAAACTACGTCGGGAACTGGGAGCAGATATGAAAAGGATTGCCCAGGACAGTTAGATGGAGAAAGCTGGTGAGAGACCCATGCTCCTCCATGAGGGGTAACAGGTGTAAGTAAGTAGTTGTTCCTACTATCGTGTCTCTGTTGTTTGGCTTCTTTTAATATATATATTGATTATTATGAATTTTCGCTCTAATCTGAAAATAGTTGAGTGAAGTATCACAGCAAGATAATATTAAGTTATACAAAAACATAATCAAAACAAAGATTATCATGTAACTGATTGAAAGTTGAATACTGAGAATGATACCACGATTATTTAGATTTTTGTGCTCACTACATTTTATCACTCAGGTTGTACGATATCATATGGACCAAGTCTTGATGTTAGATGGTTGGAGACAGTGGTTAAATATCATGATCTTACAAGAGGTCAGGACCTGTACTTATATCTTCGTAGTAATATCTTGAACTGTGATGATGAAGTGCAAGAGTTCGAATGTCACAGAGTGTCAGTAAAGTTTCAAATTCCTTATTGCATTAGACATAATTGATTTAGAAGATCAAAACTGATCAGTTCACGGCAGCATATTGGCTATGTGTATGCATGTTGAAATATTATTGATTGAGGATTGATAAAGTGACTTGACAGTGCAGTTTAAGATATCCGTTTCATCAGGTTTGAAAATCACCAATCAGGTATACTGGTGTGTTTGTTCCCACTGATAATGATGGCTTAGTGGTAGAAGTGTTGAGCTTTCTATAAATATTTTGCAGATTTGAACAAGGATTTACACATCTTGGTTTGAGCAGTCAGATAGTATCATGAGCTTAAAGGTAACTGCATAAAACCGTACCCGGTAAATGAGTTACATTAAATTTTAAAAAGAGCTTTCATGGAAACCTGAACCTTGCACTGATTGTTCCAGGGGTCAAAGCGTCATTTATTAGCCGAATGAATTAAGGTAACTACGCATGGTTTAGGAGATGAGAGTCGTTAGCATAGTTTGAGGCAACCAGGTGTTCTTACAGATGATTTTGACTGTCGAAAGAAACAACTTCTTTAGTAAGTATAGAGCTTACCAGGAGGATAGAACTCTGACTTTCGAAACGACAAAAATTGCGCTAAAGCATGAATATTTTTATTGTTAATGTGCTTTTATTGATACGTAAATTAGGGGTGATGCATGATCGTAAAACTTAATCATTTCTAAGAATGATATTACAATTCAAATCGTTTGAAAATGATCTTATTCGTCAAACAAGATCATATACGCACTGACCTTATCGTATTCACTTTCCAAATTTGCCAAGTCCTTTGATGCAATACCTTTATTGTTACTTGGATTATTTTCGTCCTCAGAGTTTGAATCATGGAAAATATTTTCATCGTCTGACTCCTGATTATAAACATCGTCATCATTATTCGATTCACTATCATTAACATCGTCGTCATCATCATCACCACTGTTATCGGAATTGTTTTCCACTCCTTCAAAATCATCTGAATCATTATCATAAAATGATTGCTTTCCATGGTAGGTATGCTGTACACGACTACCAGATGCGGCAGCATATTTTTTAGCCTCATTCATTTTTAATTCTTCTCGTGCTTTAGCATCTTTTTCCAATAGTGTTCGAGCATCTTCATTCTCACCCCAATGACCAGTGGTAAATAGATTACGAATTAAATTATGAGATGATGAATCCTCCCATGATAATACAGTTGATTTATGAATTGAACAAAGAGTAAAATCATGATCTCCAATGATTGGTTGGTTAGAACTTTTAAGGGGATTTTCATTTGCATCTAATAAAATATGGAATCAATTACTTTTTTGGTAAGATGTATGAAAAAAACAGTACATGATTAACTTATTTTATCAATTGGTAACGAGTTAATTTTAAGTATCATGTCGAACATATCAGTACTAACTTCTAGTCTAAGCCACGTCAATAGATGTACACTACTCGGTCGAGGTCCGCGTGACTATCCTAACCAATGGTTGGAGACTCTGAGTGACATGGCTCAGAATCAATAACAATGGCGTAGGTGTATACATTCTCTGTCTTCCCTTAAGCTACGAGATTAAAATCGCTTCATATCTTTTTTTCTACAAACTAATTGTTTCTTCCTGTACTATATCCTTATATGCAATCTTTCTTTTATATATTAGCACCACTGAATTAACTACTTCTAGGAATCCGGTGTTCATCTTGTTGTGCTAATGAGGTATGGCAACTTGAACCGATGCACATATGTGCCTGGTTTTATGTTGTAGATGACTGACGAACTTATCAGTATTGAGAAAACATTTCCACGGCTATAAAGTATTTACCGGACAAAGATATCAGTTATCATCTGAATTATTATAAAAATTTCAGTGAATAAAGAATAATAAACTTGTTATAAAACGTTGAATTGCATATAAATTCGGAAATCTACGATTGTGAAGGTAAAACCGCCGTAACAATATTCTGAGTTGTCATAAAGGAAGATGTTATTAATTGATGAGATGAAATATCAATTGTTCGTGTTATATTTCTCTCTTACGGTTATAACCCAGCTATTCCTATTGCTTAGTATTCTTGGACACCAAATCACTCAACAAGTCCCCAAATCAGAACACGGTTGAACAGGAAAGAGACTATATTCCAAATAACGAGGTTAGATGGAAGTAAGAAGCACAATAGGGAAAAACGTTAGTATATTTATAGTTTTTACATGAGAAGATTCTAGAGTATTCTCCAAGTATCGACTAGTGATGAGTGGATAAGAATTAGCCAATCAGCGTGCATCAAAGCAATCGTGCATTGAGCATGCTTTAATCCAGTCTATGTCCCGTTAACAGTTAGAATGAATAAAACATGATGACCGACCGATGATACACAATAATATGATGTGTGGCCAAGTGACGTATGCTCAGGAGGACTAGTTCGTGACTTAAGCCTCTGAATGATTTGAAATTAAAGACAAACTAGAAGGCATTTGGAGTGTTTCATGGAAACTATTTACGACTGTATAAAGGCTATGAAATAAAATGTTTTTTGAGTCATATTGATAAATCTCTTTATTGAAGATTTCTTTGAATTCAAAGCCTAAGAACCGATTAGAAATATAAACGAAATCACTAATCATATTAAAAAAACCATATCTACTTTATGAATCTTTTCATTTTGAACTAGAAACCACTCATATTGACTGTCTCCTGGTTAAATGGTGTCGAAAACTCCTTAAGGTTATTTTAGAAATTACTCAAATTCAACATTATACTTCAGCCTTAACAAGCTTAAATCTAACTAAATAACCGGTAATACTGAGGGCTTTGAGCGACCAATCGAAATTAAAATAACCTATATTAAATATTAGTATGAATTCACAATGCTAATGAGGATAGTTTACTGTTATATATATATATAATCTTGTTGAGTAGATTTCATACTATGGATAGATTGGATGATAATTTCCCTGTGAAACGAAGTGCTAGAATTAGAAAATAAGAGGAGTTAGAGTTAGGACGTCAGGGTATTAGGATAGTCAGTCTTAATAAGTTCATTAATTGGTAAAACTCTAAATACTTTTTTGTAATACAGAACATGATTACAAGAGTTATATTCTTAGTGGCTTATGTTTGATTAGCTAATCTTAAGGTTATATTTTAAATCATTCAAGACCGTCAACATAGTATAGTTCTACCACTATTGTCAATTTACCAATACACATCTTTACTATTATAAGTGTGCATTTACTTTCTTTTTTTTAAAACATTGGTGCATCTGTAATTCTTTTGAGAGATCAAGTTCATTTAAAAAGTGAATTGTCAAGTGCAAAACATCAAAACTAAAACTTACCATTATTTATACCATAAACAATACGGTTCCAGTTGACTAAGGATACGGTTGTGGATTTCCATTCAATATCTGTAAACAAGATGAATTGTTTCTATAGGTCTCAATACTATGAATATTATTACTTATGAATTTTGTAAATAGTTTAGTAATATAACAGAGTTCACAAACTAACGTCTCCACTGGGAACAGTAAGAGGTCGTGACGTATGTGATATATGTAAAAACCACTGCCTACCTCGATGGATGGTGTCTGGTGTGGGGGGTGGTTAGAAGAAAGCTAGGGGCAACCAAACCAAGACACAGCACCGGTCTACAAAGCCATCGATAGGTGGACTGAGCTATATAGGTAGGTGTAGACTAACTGGTTGAAGTCTAAGTGATTATTGTAAGCAATGGTTACAGACTCTGGGCGACATTGCTCAGAATTATTCGCAATAATGCCAGCTGCATTTACTCTTTGTATCCCATGAAATCTGAGTCTTGAAATCAATTAATATCTTCTTTTTTCGACGCCTATACCTTTCTATTACTACTAACGTTGTGACTACATCTATTGGTCTGGGATTGGTCTTGATAACTGTATCTCTCAGTTTAAATGTGCTATGTCAACCTAAACCGATTTATAAACGTTTCAGGTTTCACGGTGCATATGACTGACTGGGAACAGGAACGAAATGGCCGTCATTTTTGGTGATATTTCGAAGTAATTTTGAAATAAATATCCTTGATTTCTGCACAAAACTTCCATGTTTTTTTAGTGGAAACGTTTTATCTGGGGTGCTTTAACAATATTTCCTAATTAGTGGATGAGAAACATTTGAAATATGTATTATCAAACATTACATAACAGTATGTTTTAAATTCATCAGTTTAAAGACGTTCTATTTATTTATTTTGATAGATGGAATTCATGGTCACCTATAGATAACGTAGTATCTAACACAAATCTGTGTCATTCCAACTTGCCACACCTCAGAACAAACCAGTAATTAACAGACAAAAGTGTGATGCAAAATCTAGACAATTAACCAATACCCTAATTGTAATCTAATAATAATTATAATTATTATCATAATTACAATCGTGGCTCATTAGTGACTAGCTTTGAGGAAAATCGCTAGTTCAAATGAAAAGCTAAAACTGGTTGGATCCAATTATATTGAAGATGATACATCACCAGTGACATTGGATGATAACTACAAAATAAAAGTGTGAACCGTTCAGATTTTGTGGTATAAAGTTATGATATTTTTCACAAAAACTAAAAGTACTGAGTTTGCTTTAGTACATGGTAGCGAGTGGACGCTAATTAACCCTAATCTAAAATGTAATAATCGTCTAACACTCCCTGGTCTTCGGTGGTTCTACACATGATATCCATTTGTGATGAAAACCAACTTCAAACTGAAAAATTCCTATGAATCCTCAATACTAAGAATTAACAAGTACTTACTACAACTAATATACATTAGTACAGTTCATGAGCTAAGACGTAAATTACAAAAACACGGATCTCACCATCTAAAATTTGTTTTACTTGCATATGTGCACTTTTCGACACTGACGGATCTTGGTTCTTCTTTTGGACGTTTCCATTTTCCTGAAATCCAGCCGGGACAAGAAATCCTGCAATAGGCTCTTCTGAAAATACACGTATTTCATCAGTACACTTGTCAGTGTTCATATCATTTGGTTCTTCCATTGTAACATCATTCATCGAATTGTTTAGATTATGAAAACCATCATGATTATCCGCTATTTCTTCTGCAGACAGAAATGGTGCATTGCTGACCATACGAACCTTATGTGTTTTATTTAATCGCTCATCCAACCCACCAACTTCATTGAAAGTTGCATGTAATTCATCTAACATAGACTGGCTAACATTTTGTGTTTGATTATTTCCATGTCGAGATTTACGATTAGTTAGATAGTGGCTGCCTCCAAGATCAATATATGTCGCGTCCCGGTCGAACAGAACACCACCAAGACTCGACATTGGAGCATATATCTAAATAGAAAGTGAAGTCTTTGTGATATAATAATAATAATAATAATAATAATAATAATAATAATAATAATAATAATAATAATAATAATAATAATAATTTGTATTTATTACACTACGTAATTTATGGCGGTGGTTCAGAAATTAAGTTTTGTGTGAGGGCCGGTAACATTACCTAACACTCCAGATCAAAGTAGAAAGTGGTAATTAACTGTCATCTAGAATTTTCCTAGAAAAGTTAGTTTTCCCCTTAGCTGCATTTACTTACGACATACGTTCGATTTCTATCTACAATTATAGAGGACAACAGATTATGAATCACTTATTTATTAATACAGGTTTACGTCCTTAACTTTGAATCATATTCTTTGTATATGTGAGAGCTATTGGTGCATCATATGAACAAAACGTTTTTGTTTGATTGTTTGAATAGAAAACACGAATCTTGTCACAATATACAAAACTTGTATCATATAAAAAAAACCCTGCGTGAATTCCCTGTTACAGATGTTCATTGGTGGTGGTAAGATGTGTAAAATATACTATGAAAAATTGCTATTTCCACTCCTCGCTAATCAGTGATGTGAACAGTCTTTAATATCAGACAAGGTAATTATAGCAGTTATCGGTTTTACACAAGGAGATAATAAAAAAAGTGGTGCACGGGGTACTCATTAAACTGATAGTTTCCAGTCAAATACTATACACAATACCCTGGCACTCAGTAACTAGCACTTAATATACGCATAAAAAATTAAAATATCAACAAAAATATACATTACTTTTCGATCACGTTCAGACAAATGTCTTGTTGTTTTCACAGGATCAGTACCGTTAGAATGAGTGAACATACCCGGTAATGGGCAGGGATCAGGCTGTTGAGTGCATTCAACTAAAGCAAAATCACCAAGTCCTGCAATGTGTATCCCAGGAGATGTCAATGCTGGTGGTAAGGGGGCACCACGAACCCACCCGTACAAACTTATACAACGGTCATTATTCATGTTGTTGGACGTTTTGTTGTCCGTTACATCTTCTATTCGATCAATTAGTAAGTAAGGATGAGAGCTACGCCAATCTGAAGGGCGAGGCGTTTTGACCATTATTAACCGAGCCAAACGTCTGACTTCATTTAGCAAATAATCACCTGGAGTGTCGCCTGCATTTTGTTTATCTGGTGTATGAGAGGGAACTAAAAATATAAGGTATACAAAAGCATAATAACGCACATTACAGTGTGATACTGGTGAAGTTACTAAAAAGAAATACTAAAGTTTTAGAAAATTACTTCCGAACACTGATTAGTACATATTAATTAAATGTTGGAGGCACTACCTGATTGCTTAAATCAAAGTAAGTTGAACACGGTTCTAGCCTGCGACTGGAAAATTAGAGGAAGTATTAGGTTCATTCACTTGTTTTAGTACTGATCAGAATGCAATACACTACAAAATACAAGAGAGTAGTTTTTACATTTTAAGGTGACTAGCAAACACTGGACAAGATCAAAGAAATGAAGGACAAGAAGACAGCAATTAACAACAGCCGAACACGAGCAGAGAAAGTCCAAGCACAAGCTGAATACATAGAAGCAAACAAGCAAGTGAAGAGCATTAGAACCGACAAGAAATACGTGGAAGAACTAGCAACGACGGCGGAAAAAGCTGCAAGAGAAGGAAATATGAAACAGCTTTACGATACAACGAAGAAACTAGCAGGGAAATATAGTAAACCAGAGAGACCGGTCAACGAAAGAGAAGAAGACAGGCCAATCACTGAAATTCAACAACAGCAGAACAGATGGGTAGAATACTTCGAGGAACTCCTGAATAGGCCGGCTTCAATGAATCCATCGAACATCGAGGCAGCACACGCATGGCGATCAGACAAAGAGTGGGAAAGCAGCAGGACCCGACAACATACCAACTGAAGCACTGAAGTCAGACATCGAAGTAACTACAAACATGCTTCACCTTCTATTCAAAAAGATTTGGGAGGAGGAACAAGTGCCGATGGACTGGAAAGAAGGACACCTCATCAAAATTGTAAAGAAAGGAGGTGTGAGCAAATGTGAAAACTACAGAGGCATTACACTACTGTCAGTACCAGGGAAAGTCTTTAACAGAGTTTTGCTGAACTGGATGAAGGATGCAGTAGACGCCCAACCTCGAGATCAACAGACCATATTACCTAGGGATCGGTCGTGCACTGACCAAATCGCGACACTACGGATCATCGTCGAACAATCAGTTGAGTGGAAAACGTCACTGTACATCAACTTCATTGATTACGAAAAGGCATTTGACAGTGTTGATAGGAGGACATTATGGAAACTTCTTCGACACTACGGAGTTCCTGAGAAGATTGTCAATATTGTCCGGAACTCATACAACGGACTACAGTGAAAGGTCGTGCATGGAGGACAGCTGACAGATGCATTCCAAGTAAGGACCGGAGTCAGACAAGGCTGTTTACTCTCTCCCTTCCTTTTTCTTCTGGTGGTCGACTGGATTATGAAGACCTCGACATCTGAGGGAAAACACGGGATACAATGGACAGCTCAGAATCAATTAAACGATTTGGACTTCGCGGATGACCTGGCCCTCCTATCACATACCTGGGTAGCATCATCGATGAACAAGGAGGTTCAGATGCAGACGTAAAAGCAAGGATTGGCAAAGCAAGGGTCACATTCCTACAATTGAAGAACATATGGAACTCAAAACTTTCAACCAATATCAAAGTGAGAATCTTCAATACGAACGTCAAGGCAGTTCTACTGTACGGAGATGAAACATGGAGAACTACAACAACCACCATCAAGAAGGTACAAGTATTTGTAAATGACTGTCTACGCAAGATACTCAACATTCATTGGTCTGATACCATCACCAACAGCCTTCTGTGGGAGAGAACAAACCAACTTTCAGCTGAAGAGGAAATTAGGAAAAGACGATGGAAATGGATAGGACATACATTACGCAAATCGTCAAACTGCATCACGAGGCAAGTCCAAATTGGAATCCTGAAGGGAAGTGGAGAAGAGGAAGGCCAAAGAACACATTACGTAGGAAAATAAAAGCAGATATGGAAAGGATGGATGACAACTGGAAGGAATTGGAAAGGATTGCCCAGGACAGGGTTGGATGGAGAATGCTGGTGAGCGGCCTATGCTCATTCACGAGGAGTAACAGGCGTAAGTAAGTAACGAATTAAGGTGACTAGCAATGTTTGAAGTTGTTGCAAGTTAAATGTGGTTTGGAAGTGTTACAAGTGGAAATAGCTTTATTGAGAACGACCATGTCACAAATCGAATCTAGATAACTGTGAATGAAATTAGTCATGAACACGCCACTTGAGCATCCCATTTTAAAAGTTCGACTTGGTGAGAATCTGAAGCATACGTAAAATTACAAGCTCATTTTATCTGATTCATCATGGAGGATTTCTTTATTTAAACAATTATACGAATTCATAGTATTTTAGTAAGAAATGAGATGTAATACACTCGAATGGTTATCTCATAAACCATTAAGATTTATGAGTGTAAGAGTATTGACGCTTGTCTGGAATTAAATGTCGCACATGATTGCTATAAAATTACTTGATTTATGCAATCCGACACAAAACATGAGGATTCAGAAATACGTTAAGGCAACTAAACAACTAAATTTAAGGGTTGATACACACATTTACAAAGATGACGACAAAGTCGAGTCCTCAAAGTAATAAAGCAACACCAGGATGCGCAGATTTTACGGAAGCTGGTAATTAAATTACGTTTCTATACTTTAAGTATCCGACGATCATGTGAACTATTTGGTTTAAAGTTAAGGTTTTGAAATCCCAGCAAGTGAATTCCCTGCATTCCCCAGGTTTGTTCAAGCTCATGATTTTATCCTTTTCATTATGTCCAAACACTCCATCATTTGTCCACAAAGAGCTGACATTTCCTAAGTGTTATTAATGTGAGATTATTTTAAGGCATAACCAGAGGAGAACAAACACTTTACTTTCCTGTGTATCAAGGCACTTTTGGGGTTAAATGCAACCCAATACGCGATATATCCACGGAATTTGAGGTAAACCAATGGTTTGTGGGCCATGGGTGAGAAGGCTAACTTGTTAGATTACCCGAGTTATAAATCCGAAACGTACATATCTACCGAAATGAGTATAATTCCAGATCTTGGAACTAGACAAGTGTACAGAATAAATCACTTAATCAAAATATTTAGCTTAATGATCACTTGATTTCATTGGTTTTTATTTTATTTTATTTAGAAACATAAACATTAATACAAGGAGGAACCAAATAGATGTGTACCACATAAATCATTCGATTTATATGAGGGCTGGGATACTCCCCGGGTGCCCAAACCGAAGCAGGTGGTTTTCTTAGGGGGCCACACCCGGAGCCTTTGACTTAAAGGCCTAATCCACAAGGCAGTGGAGCAACGTCAGAAGATGCAGTCCCATGGCAGCCGATGACGAACAATAGATTCGTACGCCATTTGTTACCTTAGGATCCTGGAGCCTAGTGCACCATTGGTCTGGAGTCAGGGTTTTCTGACCCCCTTAGGTGAATCCTCCGTATCCACCAACCCGGTTAAAGTGCCGGACATTCGCTTTTCTCCCCTTCAATTTCGTAAACAACAGTAATGCCACAAGAAGGCAATGAGTAGTACTTCCATGTCAGTGGTTGTATGCACATAGCCACCTGAGAGCATTTCGAGAGGGATAGTTGGCTCTCCCCGCTCGGGGACGTACCAGGGTATTTGGGGGACCAGTATATTCCATTAAGGCAAATCAAAAATACTCAGATTTAACACAGCTGACAATTTTAATAATAGTAGTAGGCTGCTTTTTTGTTTATTTGACTATTGTTAGCTTCAAGATCAGGACGAAAATAACAGAAGTTCGACTTTAATCGGTCGTTAGTATGAGTACTGAAAACAAATAGGTTGTTCATGATCAAAGCTTCCTGCCTAGTGAAGGATGCATAACTAGTAGATAAGTAATAGTTATTACCGTTCTGAAATATAAAATAATTGATAAGTATCAGGGTCTGTTAACCAAACGTTTAAAACGGAGAAAAAGCAAAACGTCCCTTAGAACTTACATTTTTTTGCTTGAAAACGTGAGAGGAGAAATATTTTGGAGTTAAGATCGGTCCATAAGCGATGTTTAATTTTTCTTCGAAGTGCACGAGAAGAGCTAGAATCCTTAAATGTATCTAAGTGATTCAAAACAGGGACAACTCTCGGCATTCCATGAGCTTGTATCATATTGATGAATTCAAAATGATACATTTCCAGTCCTGCACGGACATTAACGAGTAACAAAACGACATCAGCGATCTTTGCAGCATCTAACATACTGTTAATTTCACACCCACACTCAATGAAAGTAAATCTTTCCTTTTTACCGACTACTACAGTCACCGGACCTTTAATGACACCGACTGATAGGTGTGCAAAGTGTTTTATTAGTCCACGGAGAAGAGTGCTTTTGCCTGATTTCGGAGGTCCGACGATTGCAACTACATATGGTGGAGAAACAGCCGAAACATATTTGGATTGTAATAAATGATGTCTTTTAGTCTGATGATCAAGCGTACGTTGGACTAGGCGTGATGCTTTAGTTGTGTGTTGGACAGCAAATGCCTTAGGATTGTTTGCTATTGCTGACTCTCGTGGACATTTTTTCTGCGCTTTACGACCGCTGGCGCGTGGGCGGTGCTTTTTGTTAACATCTATGTCATCAAATTTATTAGGATCTTTTAACACCATTGAAGAAGACGTAAACTCTCTCCGTCAGAGTCTACAGTTTGGAGTGGACCACTTGAATCTAGATGCACGTGGGCAACGCTCCTAGGGTATCGTCCACTGATGGGGGTTGCGAGCACTTGAAGGTCAAACTGTCGCAAAATGATTGGTGCGTCTCATCGACAATTCGTGAAAATTTTCAGAAGCGGTCAAATCAAGACATTTTTGGATTTGAATTGATTTCAGCTACACTATGTCTGATAACGTTCATTCTTCAAGTAACGAAGACGACACCATCGTGATGATGCATGATATAGGCCGAATCTTCAATGATATTATATTATCTCGAAGATTTACAAGTTGGGACAATTTTGAGACCTGTTTGAAAGAAGTACATAAGGTAATATGACCTCTGGGGTTAATAATTATTTTTTTAGTATACGCATACTAAGTACGTTATGTCAGTATGCAAAAAGAACAGTGATGATCCAACTCTAAAGTACTTTTTCGTGAGATATGTCTGTACATATGGACGTAAACGCAGTTCGTCAGAGTCAGATGCTTGCGTTCAGGATGTAGATGATGATAGTAATAATCATTCTTCTGAAGAGCATACAACTTCTAACTCGCCAACACAACCTAGGCAAAGGAGACGACGTCGGTCATCTACGTATGCCTTACTTCAAATGAATTTATCCTTCAGGTCGAAATATTGCCACTGTCAATCAGGATTTTGGGTCCGGGCAGTGAATGGTGAGTTGAAACTCACCTCTATTAAAACCGTGCACAACCATCCTTGCACAGAAGGATATATTTCTGTCGATCCATCGAGACGACAGTTAACGTCAAATGAACGCTTGTATTTAAGAACGTTTCTACTGAGTAATACACCAACTCGTAGCTTACGGTATCTGGTTTCTTTGAAGTTCAATAAACAGCTTACCAAGGACGATATCGCCAGAATGCGTTAACAGTTGTACCCAGGTTGTTGAACTCACATTGTAATTAATTGAGTTTAGACACTAAAAATATCAATGACATCTTACAGCGTGTTCAAGCTAACACTGAAGTTAAAGTATTCAATGAAAATGGGAATATATCTATGATTTGCTTCGGCGTCAGGGAGAAAATAGCTGTTTACCACGCTTTCTCGGAGGCAATATGCATTGATTCGACTTATCAGACCAACAAAGTTGGGTAAGTAACGATTAGTAATAAATTTATCTGAAAGTTTTCCACTGTTCCAGCTAGTGGTGATTGATAGTCTTGGGCAAGGGCACACTGTTATGTATGCTCTTTTCAGGCAAGAACGACGCTAAAATGTCGTAAAACTATTGCAATGCTTTAAAGACATAATGTGTGTTTGTGTGTGTTCCTTTGCCTCTATAAGCTTTGTAGACTTATCTCGATATAGCAACTGGTGGACACGGAAATACATAATGGACTTGGTTCTTCGTGCGCTGGACAACATGTCAATCTCTACAGAAAGTGGTGATTTGCTAGAGAAGTTCACTAACAACTACAACTCAATCCATGCTCTTAGTGAACATTTGGCCAGTAAACTCATCCGTTCATGCCTCGAAGCATCGAAAGACATATGCGCACAACTGATGAGTTCAATCGCTGCTAATGATGAAGCTACAACGTCAGAGTCCATTGTTCATACAGACCATAGCTATGCTTCTTGATAACAAGAAGTTCTAATATTGTAATCTTTTTAGTTTTACATAAATTCATTTATATGGCCATTGACTTATTCTTATAGCGTAACGGCAGGGAGTGTACTGTGCAGTCTTATGTGGCTGTGAGACAGGGATGTTGTTTCGCGTTCTTGTGTAATAATTACCAGTTTGGCGCACACGCGATTAGTCATACATACCGTTTGCCAAATACTGCAACCTTGAACATGGTGTATCATACTAGTAGTTCGAATTTCGACCTGTCACGATAGATAAGAATTGCCGTAATTAAAAGACTGGTGCGTTATAAATGAAAACGTTTATTAAAGTTTGAATCTAGCACAAATGATCCATTAATAAATAACTTCTATTTCTCAGGAATTGTTCTCGTTAAGTCTGTGAACGCTTGCGAAGCTAGCTGGAAATAAGATAGACAGGAAAGTTATTTCAGTATAAATGTTTACCAGAAACTAGTATAAAAACGGAAACTAGTATTCAATTACAGATCGAAAGTGCATTTAACACACCCTTCCTTTGGACAGTCAATCACGCTTATTTCCTTTATCTCTTGCGTTGCTTAGGAAAGTCTGGGTCACAACATACACGGATTGTATTATTTAATTCTTTGGACAGGTTGCACTTCGGAAACTTAGACGATTAACATATATAAAGACTACTGTGTGAATTTACTTTGAATCGTCCTGTGTAACCTACAATTCTTGATGCATATTCTATTCTAGTCCCACGTAAGTTATGAGTAATTGTCATTTACGGCATCAGCACGTAAGCTAGACAGGCGTTGGTTGATTTCCGAAGATCACATAGGATCTCACACAATCTGGTCACCTTAGATCAAGATATCTTAACTATCGAATCGAACTTTTCAGTGCTTTCTCGTGACAGCTTTATACCAGTACTTACTTCTGCTATTAGGTATTTTTGCAATAATACCGGCAGCCAAAACATTGTAGCTCCCCAGACAACCCATAAAGGGGTAAATGCTTTGGTGGTGAAAGGGGAAAACGCATCAGAATGTCGCCTTTTTCGCCTGTCCGGGGGAAATAATGTGGATTTCCCCCTTTTTCGCCGTTTTGTCGACAAATCACTCACTTTTCTTCTAAATATCCGCAGAATTGTCGAATTTACACACAGAACTCCCTATTTTCCATCCATTGACATAACCCCAAAGGTCTCCTATGTTCGCCTTTATTTTCAACAACAGACCAAAACAAATCTGCAATGCAGTGGAAAACCGGCATGTTTTTGAAAAATTTTATTTAAAAGGTAAAGCGTATTATTGTACAACACTAGAGCAGAAGCTTAAGCATCGATTGTTTTGCATATCCAATGCAATTGCTAATTCATTGTTATTTGAAATTATCTGCAAAAGAAGAAACACGTGATGTATTATTTATAAGGAATGTGCATTTATTCAAAAGTTCACTGACACTCAAACACACATTCTCAACACTTCTACAGTTTCCCATGTAAGTGAAAAAGTAAGCTGTTTGAAAAATATTTATTGAAATGTAGGTAGAACATCAAAACAATTGCACGGCTATTGACAATTGAGGTAGTCGTCCCGTGAATTCAGAATTTAAAAAAAGAAAAAAGTCACAACCATATCTCAATGACATGCTTTGGTACAGCCAAATACTTGTGTAGATCTATACAAGAGGTAGTAATGCTATCTTAGCTTCGTCTTTGGTAGAATCCCCACATAATTATACCTCTACCGCATGATTATGATTTATTTCCTGCAATACAATCATCTGGTGGCTAATAAATCTAACTGTAGGAGGTGATATTAACATCTTAAGATATGTGTTATTATCATCTATAGCATATACATAATATTTACAACACTCAGGACACCTTATGTTTTCACTTGAACCTATTTCTGCCATAAAAGTCGAACAAAACAGTGAAAATCAGCAGAAATTGTGATAAAGATAGGAAAAACGATAAATCTTACCATGGTATCGTTAGTTGTAACGCAGTTTTGGTAGCCTTGACGACAATACAACTTTTATGACGATATATGCCTAAATCTTGCTATTTCATATAAAAATAAAAGAATTGTCTACCATCAGTGTACACCTAAGTAGAAATAATTGCTAATCTGCGATGCAAACACCGAAAAACTATTATAGCAGCACCTGAATAATGAATTTTCAAGGACTTCGCGATACCATGTAACGCAAAATGAAAAAACCCCTTTTTACCTAATTATGAAAACGGAAAATAGACTTTCAGATTTATTCATAATTAATTTCGAAATTTGGTTGTGCAAAAAGCAGAAATGAAAAAGTAGCGCAAAAATGTGTCGCGATACCCCTGGAGCGCTGCCATGCACGTGTGTCAGGATAGCTTGAATATACGCTAACCTTGGCAGATCAACATCCCAATAACTAAAATCATGGTGAATGTAGTTCCACATGTAGTAAAAGTTTAGGATAACGTAGGTGGAATTTTCACTTTGTGTGGAGAAAGGAATCGTTAAGCTATATTACCGTTATTCAACATGTGGTTTGGTATAAACGTTAGGTTGTTTCAAATGGTTCTGGATGGGATAGAAGCTTTCTGTTAACAGGCTTCTTTATCTAGTAGAAGTGGATCACTGACATCGCCAGGTAGAAACCTATGTATGTTTAACGGTAAAAGATAAAAAATATCGGTAAATCACTGTGGGATACTGTACCTAGTCATAATGAATATATCAAGTTTTCTATTAAAGGACTGCTGAGAAGTCTCTCGGGCGATCTCAGCAGGCAGCAAATTCCAGCGTTTGACCACTCTTAAGGAACAGAAGGTATGCCTACAGTATGTTCTGTTATTGTTGAATCTCTCGATTCCGGGTGTTACCTCTAAGGTTTGTATTAGAACTTGCAGTAAGTGGGTATTTAAGGGGATACCCGAAAGTGCTGAAGGTGTTACAAGTCGTTGAAAGGTCAACTCTGAGACATCTATGCCCTGATGAGCAAGGATTTAGTTATTTGAGGCACTTCCCAACGTTTACTTTCGAGTCGAACAAAACTGTCGAACATTAAGTGGAAAGTTCTGTCGTTAAACTGGACAAAAATGGGCTTCAACGTTAATAGTACAAGGCTTGGTTGAAAGGCATTTTTGTTACAGTAAGCGTAATATTTCAGGTTGTAGTGTTCCAACACTCCTAGGCCTTTTCCAAATTGGGATCTTTCTAGACTGGGGTCACTGAAGATATGTGAATAGTCTTGAAAATTTCTCGGATGAAATATTTTACACTTTGAAGCGTGAAAAGCAAGTTCATTGTTATCCACCTGACATTTAAGTCAACTCAAGTCCTCCTGAAGTGCGAGCTTACAATTTCGGATGAAAACCCCTCTCCAGGGTTTCATAACATCAGAGAAAATTAATAAATCTGACGATACCTGCTG